TTGGCGGGCTTAGTACTGAGTTGCTGCGTACTTGAAGGGCAAGCTGGATCACTAAGCGAGAAGTTCTTTCTACATTTGTTCGTGACTCGAGCGAACGGCAGTCAGCGTTGTGCGAGCCCGAGTGAAATTGGATCGTGAGTTGGACTTAGGGGTTTGTGTACAAGGGTCTGGATCCGGACTTTGCCACTGTGAGCTTTTATATTCACCTTAGCAATGTGAGAGCATTTGCCTCGAGACAAGTACATACGGCTTAAAAATACAGAATACTTCACAATCACAATATCCCTACCAGCGCCGAGACCATTGTCACTGTTGCGGCTGCCCCACCTGGACGAGCACTGTTGGTGGAACCGCTTCCCTTCGCGATTTTGGTCTCTCAATGTCTGACCAGCTTGAGTTGTACGTTTTGTCTGGCGCGTACTGCAATAGCTCCTCGCTGGGAGGCTCGAGGCCGGCGCGATCCGCGTTAGAATGCTTTGTAGAGGCAGAAGCGGTCTCTGGTAGCTGCCCAAGCTGCCAAGTCAACGGAATAGACTCGTCCTTCTTGATGGCCGTGCTCGTGCTCCAAACTAACGCAGGGTCAGCAAACATATCGACCTCCATTGACTGCGAAAAATTGCCAAGGCCGCTTACGAGTTGCAAAGACGACACCAATAATTGAAAGATAGTAGTCCGTGATGAAAAGGTTGCCCGTGAGAGTCGTATACTGAGGGTCCACGAAGATGACGGTTGTAAGCGCAATATTGAAGATAACTGAGAGTTCCTGTCAGCAACCCGTGAACTACATCAGCTAGTGGACTTACCGGGAAAGACAAAGTTTCCGACCGCTATCCAGAACAATGTTCGGAGTCGGGATGCCAGAGAGCCTATGATGCAAGGTTTAGCCAGTTATTCACTTGTGGTAGAATGGAGCCTTACCACCTGCACCAAAAGTAACTCGCTGGCTATCTTGTCCCTGGAAGATGTGCGCGCCGTACAGTTTCCAGATAAAATTTGTCGATAGGTAGCTACACACGAAGGACTCGGAATGAGCTGTATCACTCAGGAGGCGACAGACGACTACTCACGCGTCGTCGAAGAGCTGCAGTAGGCATGTTGCTCTGATGTATGGGAACTGTTGCCAGCCGATGTTTTCTGTTTCCGTCAGCGCACCTGAGTATTGGGTCGTCTCACGAACGAAGACCTTCCAGAACGATGCAAGGCAGCCTAATCGAGCACATTTTACTACAACTGGGAACGCAGAGACGGCAGCCAATTTGGACAGCGGAGTTCGGCGAGGTGGAAAAACTATTGCGAGCCGGAAAACGAGCACCAGTTCGGCCACCCATGGAGATAGCAGGAGTATCACGATGAAGGCGGTGCTTGTAGACCCGCTCATCTGGATTGTGGGATTTGATACTCCAAAAAGCTTAAGTGTGTGAGAATCTGAGTGACAGAAGGGCAAGGACTCCCGCTTACCATGCTGTAGTCACCGAACATTGCTATTCCAATGCCCACCAAGATAGAGGCTACATTTAATATGAATATGGGCTGCCTGCGAGTCGTAGGGGTGGAGAACCAGAGGAGCGTGATGAGGATAGGAATGAGCATGGATGCAAAAATCGTGAAAAGAAGGGCATAGTTTATGGCCGGACGTATAGCTTCTGCGAAGGCCTCGATAGTAACGGCGACCTCTGGCGAAATGGAGTCAGAGTAAGTCGTCGCGAGCGGAGAAGAACCCGTGAAGGCCATGAGAGAAAGAGGAGACCAGAGCTCTGCTGCGAACAGATGCGGTCGCCATGCTTATATGGGAGTCCAGTACCATATTCATCTCAGAACAGACAGTTGATATGATGAACGAAGGTTTACTGTGCTCTACCAATGTGATCATGGAACACCGGCCTCCAGGCGACTTCGGATCCCAGGCAATGGTTTGACTCGGAGGATCAGTCAAATGTACAAGATAACCGCAATCCAGATTCAACATCGTACCGGATGATCGGTCAAGTGTGTGACTAACATGGAAGCTATGCGGCCGACTAGCCACACCTTAGGCTTCAACCCGCCGTGCGAGGTGTGTATAACTACGACACCGATAGCGAGGTCGTTGACGGGCGAAGCACTGGGTTACGGACCTTCTGACACAAGCTAGATCTAGAAATATGGTTGCACGGGGAGAGACACATGTGAGTCGTGAGGGGTCCAGGTGTCGGGACATCATCCGCTGGATCCTACTCGCATTCATCTCTGAGAATAGCGCACATCGCGTGCACGTATGGGCCGGCTCGCGTTCTCGGCGGGACGTTC